GTTGATATTTTGAGCGGCAACAACGTCCTTTCTCCATGCTTTCAAATGGTGGGTTTTTCTCAAATTGTCAGTGATCCTACAAGAGTGACAAGTAACACAGCATCCTTATTAGATCCAGTTTTTACTAATAAACCAGACATTATTTCCGACTGTTTGGTTCTTGATTCTAACGGCATATCTGACCACAAAATGGTATCGTGCACTCTATCCATTCCTGATTTGAAAAATAAACAACGGTTTGTAACTGTAAGGAACTTCAAGTGCTTCAACGAAGAATATTTTCTAAGTGACTTAGCTTCTGCAAATTTAGACGACTTATTTTTTATGAACCATATAGATGCTAAAGTTGAGTTCCTAACAAATACACTGATGAGAGTTTATGATAAACATGCTCCTGTAACTACTTTTAGAGTAAACAAACCACCTGCTCCATGGCTATCTCCCCGCCTACGTGACGTTCTTAAAGAAAGAGATATTGCCCATACTACATATAAAACAAATAAAACTGTAGAAAACCTAAATATTTATAAGCAAAAAAGAAATCACGCGCTTACTCAGGTGAGGAAAGAGAAAAGAGCATATCTACAATTTTTATCTGAACAGAATGACGAAAAAAAGGTAAGGTGTTTCAGTGAAGGGTATTACATCTGATGTCACTCGCATACCTTCAGGAGTGCCTCAGGGTTCCATTTTGGGACCTCTTTTGTTTTTAATATATACATTTGACTTATCTAGATCAGTTTACAACTCTGATGACACCCAGCTCTCGCATTGTTTCGGTATAGAAGATATACAGAGCACTGTCCAAGTACTCGTATTACAAGCAGATATTGATAGTCTATGCAAATATTCAGCAGATCACAACCTCAGCATAAACCCGGAAAAATCTAAGATTTTATTGTTTTGTTCAGACAGCAGAAGGAACGACGTTGTTTCGCTCTTAAATGTGAACATAGACAATAAGCAGCTCGAGCTCACCAATAGCGCAAAAATATTGGGTGTAGAAATTGATACAAAATTAAGATTTACCGAGCATGTAAAAAATCTGACACAAAAAACCTATGCACGTTTACGCAGTCTTTATTCAAACAGATATCTGCTAAACTTCAAAATGAGGAAAAAACTTTGCGAAACCTTCGTTGTGTCTGTCTTGAACTACTGCAGTATTCTATATTTTCCCTGTTTGGATCAGATCACTAAACACAGAATCCAATTGATTCAAAACAGCTGTGTTCGTTTTATATTCGGCATGAGAAAGTTCGACCATGTCTCTCACAAATATGCAGAGTTGAGATGGCTAAAGTTTGACCAGTTGGTCAAGTTACATTTTTCCACATTTATCCATAAAAATTTTAATTAATTCTAAGCCAGAATACCTATGTGAAAAAATTATTTTTAATAACACCATTCACAATAGAGCTATTACAGTATATTCAGATAAGAGATAGACCGGACATAAACAAGACCACGTGATCATCGAACGCTGTAACATTCGGCAGGGACGTATTAAGAGTCACGCAGTACATATTTTAGATAGTAGATGCTGCTTTGCGTAACTTTGTAGTAAATTAGCACAATTCGATGTGTATACGATTGGTGATGGATATAGGATCATGTGGGGGTGGGGTAAGAAATACGTAATGATGTAAATATACATAAGGGTTTCAAAATTTTCGCTTCGATTTCCAGCTTCGGATGCCGCCTGATGTTTGATGAATGGCTCGACTTGTTCCTCTAAAATATTGTCCAGTTCCCACATTCTCTTTTCAACTTTGTCTTTCACGTGCTTAATACAGTTTTCCCATTTTTGCGCTGTTATTAATTCTAGTGCTTCTTTGAAAAGTCCTTTGAGGTCACAAAATTTAAAAGTTGTATTGTGCTTAGCTATATAACTTTTAACCTCTGCCCATATGAGCTCAATGGGATTGAGCTCGCAATGGTATGGAGGTAAACGGAGCACAGCTTTATTTTGACTTGCTGCCATTTCGTCAATGGCGTATTTTTGATATTCCGCCTTGTGATCCTTGACAATTCTTAATAATTGTACTTTCAGCATTGCTTCTTCAAAGTTGATATTTTTCGAGCGGAGCCAATTTTGAACATCAACTTTCCTTGAAGCCGTTGTTGAGGCCTTCTCCATTCTTCGAGAATGATAAGGCGCATTATCCAACACAATTACTGCGTTTTCCTCTAAGTTCGGTAAAATTTTTGAAAACCACTGTTCAAACGATTCGCCATTCATTTCCTCGTGGTAATCTCCAGTTTTCTTAGACTCAAAGCACCACTGACCGTCAACAACAAATCCATCCTCACTGCCAATATGGCAGATAATGAGCCTTTTCCCTTTACCTGGAAATAGAAGTACTAACTGGTGTAGATTTATTTCAATAAGCGAACCTTTTTCAAATGTTTTCATCACATTCAGCGAAAAAACATTGAGACATGAGTATCAGATTGCTATAATTGGGATTATTTAGTCATATTGAAAGAAAGAATATTGAACGTCGTATGATTACTCAGCGCTTCACAATTTAATTTAAAGTTATAAACCTTTAAAAAATGAATGATCAGGAACCTGAAATACGCGCAAATATTAATATTAACAAATTATAACTTTATAAAGCTTAAAGTATGAATTAAAATGATTAGAAATATTAGGAACGGTACACAATATAAAACTTAGTAACTTTTTTTAAGTTTATAATATTCGACATATTTTAAGATTATATTAAAAAATTATTGAAATATCGAAAACACATAAAAACATGGCTTAAAAAAGTTCTAACAAATGAAAATGACAATAAAACATCCACGCCTTTTGTCGAAAGTTATAAAAGTTTTGTTACTTGTAATATGTTTTATCTGCCCCCTGGAATTAATGTTTAGAACCTTGTTCCCAAGGTTTGAAAAACATCCGATTGTTGTCTATTACTCGTATTTACCTGCTGGATATTTTAATCCGGTGGACAGTCCATCTAGAAAGGCCCTCCTGGATGAAGTTACAGAATCATCAACCCATACTTTACTTGTAGTGTGTCCTGCGTTTACCCACGTTTCATCAAGGTAATAAATCTTCCTGTTTTGATTTCTATATTTCCCAATTTTTGTTAAATAATCCCTCCTCCATAGCACAATTTCTTCTCTATCCAGTAGTAAACTATTACGACCCCGTTTTTTCCATTTGAAATTTAAATGCTTCAGTAACGCATGGAAAGTTGATCGTTTGAAATTTGGCAATGTTGTATCTCCATTTACCTCCTGCAGTACTTTATCTATAGTAGGTATTTCATTCCTAAAGAAGAATTCATGCACTTTCCTCCTAATCGCATGCTTATCAGCTTCATCCAATGATTTAACAATACTTTTGCGATGTACTGGTCATTGGCTCAGAAAAGGTGTGATTTTTTTTGTATTGTCTTAACACATTAAACACTGATGCGCGACACACCCCAACTTTGTGAGAAACCTTCAAAACAATTTCTTTGATGGTTGATGCCTCGTTCTCCTCGCGCTCGATCTTATATATATTCAAAATAACCTCTTTCATTTCTGCACTCAGGTGTCTTGTTTTAGAGCGTTTCCTAGGTGGACTACAGGAGTTTACAACTTCATCGGCAGTATCTGTACTACTGGGCATTTTGCGCAAGCAGTTGATAACAACAACAATCAATAACAAGGTATAACAATAACAACGACAAACTCAACAACTTAATAAGATAACAAACGAAAACGTCCAAAGAAATATCAAATTGCAATGATGCACACGACATAGCGTCGGTGATACTGCAATATGTCGTATGTCGAAAAGAGGTAATTTTTCAGGAGAGAAAGAAAACTGTTTTTATCGACCAATTTTAAATTTGAAATTGCTATTTTTTGTCTACTATGTATTTTTCTATTAGGGTATTAGTACTTAACTCGATTTTTTTGTTCAATGGAATATTAAGCAAAATGCCGTTACATACGACATATTGCATTGAAAATGGAAATATTTATGTCACATACGACAATTTTGTAATCCATTATACATCTCACAAAAATAATTTTTAACAGTTCTATTCTTTTTATTTACGTAATGAAAAACTAAACAAAAAATTCTAAACAAATATGTAATCTTAAAATAAACAGGAAAGAATAAAATATATTAATTTTTGATATGTGAACAAACTTGGTCAGACTTGCAGCTGTGCTTTAAATTGTCATAAAATCCATGGTAATCTGATTCGATGACAGATTTCAATTCTTGAAGATGTATGAATTTTGTATCCTCAATTTGGCGAGGAGATAAATATAGAGGTTCGTGAGAGAAAGAAGTTCTAGTACGACATGGTCTACGTGGCAGTTCGAGCCATTCATCCGAAAAATTTATTTTGTATTTTATTAGTCCTTCAGGAAGATACTGCAATGCACAAATGTCTGTAACACAGGGATCACCTTTTTTGCTTCCAGGTCGAATTTGTGAATACATTCCTTTTTTGTATTGCAAAAAATCGTTGAAATGCAGAGACACTACTTTATAAGGGGATGGGTTTTGCCTGGCCGCTCTTATAATTTTATTATAATCGGCGGGAACAGCTATATCATTTCTTCTTCCCAGCTTTCTCTCTATTACACTATGGACTGAATCCACCTCCATCTGGGTATGTCCTACCTCCAGGTACTTTTGTTCAATAATAATATTTTTTTCCATGGCTATCTCCAGCAAACCATTTGACAAATTCACATTTCTGTTTTGGTAGGTACAACCGTCGCTCCATAGGATTATTACCTTCGGGCTCTGCCTTTCTATCTCTTCATTAAGAAACTTTACTAAAATGGAAACAAAAACATCGCTGTCTAAACCTCCATTTCCCTCGTGCCATAAATAACAAGACACATCTTTGTTATTAAGATTAAAAAATGTTTGGTTGTGAACCTTCAGTTTTTGTTTATAGTACATGGCGGAGGCTTGGGTAAAAGGACAAAGAAGAACAGCTTGTAAGTCCATAGTGTAGACATACTTTGAGTTTCCTGCCTCTGATGAGATAGCTTCTTGTTTATCTTGCTCTTTTTCTGACCGTGCCTGTTCTTTCTTGGCAACGTGACTATCGTAATCTGCTTGACTTAAATTTCCCTTTTTAAACTTCACGCATGTGTTGCACTGGTCCTTACGAGGTGTATAAATTTCAAGATTTCTTGTCTTAAAAGTTTTATAGAAAAGTCTCCAAGAACAAGATCTTAGGTTTTGACGTTCACAATAGTTAATAAACTCACGATGCAAATGTCTGTAACTATTCCAAGTGGGTTCCAAATAAAGTTTCCTAGTGGATGCTCGACAGTAGTGCGATTCAACTTTAGGCAAGCTGTCTAAGAATTGATTAACATTTTTTGTGCATTCGGAATCCTGATGTGGCTCTACTAAAGCCGGTTCAATACCTAGCTCCATATTTGGTAAACATTTGTTTAAAACCCATTCTCTTACACATCTTTCTCCAATACCTAAAGTGGCTAAAAACATTTTCTTGCATACGTGATATTTTTTGGTAGACTCTGGATTATCTTTAGTTATTAAATAATATTTAAACCCTGTTTTCTTTCGAGACTCTTCTTCTGCAGTGTTTCGTCTTCTGTGTTTGGGCTGAGAGTGCAGTACAAGACTACTTACATAAATTTTTTTACCTTCCCAAGAACTAATTTCCCAAAAAGATTGAAATATTTGATTACGCATTTCATTTGTAATTTGCAAACATTCAAATTTTTGTTGTGGTCCCTTAGAGTCATTTTTGTGTCCCCCACATGACGGCTTTACTTTGCGCTGAACTCTACAGACTGTTTGCTGGTACTTGCCTCCAGTATTTTTCTGAAATCCCATGTATGCATGGCCTTTAAGTCTCGCTTGCGAATTTTTTGCTCGTTTCCATTGCGATGGATCTCTTTGCCCTTTACTCTTACGTTTTTTTGTTCTTCCATCCGGTGTCCGACGATCTTCTTGGTTTCCACCTCCTTGGTTTTCAACGTTTTCGTTTCCTAAACTATTTTCTGAGTCAGTATCTGTTGGCAGATACTCGCTGCCACTTTCCTGAAATGGATCTGGTTCTGAATGTCTTTCAGTATCTGAAGTTGCATCATGGACCTCTTCTTCATCTGCTACAACTTCTTCCTGATAGTCAATTATTGGTACAATACCACTATCAGAATCTGTGTTTTGTTCCAAATAATATAACTTTTCATCAGTTTTGGAATGCGATGTTTCTTTTGGGATTTCTGCCACTTCTAGGACTGTTAAAATTGGATTATCTACCAATTCTGCATTTCCTAATAGATCTTGAACTGACACTTGAACCATGCTCTCTGTTCTTTGAGGATCTGATGCATCGTTCAATTGGGTCGCAAAATTGTTAATGTTATCGTCTTTGGGCACTTGGTGAGAGGCTACTGCACTAGATGCTGAATTTCGAGCTAGTTCCACCAACAGTCGCGCTCTGTTTGACATTATGGATTCACTGAAAATAAAAAAAACAAAGATGCAATATGTTGTATGTCAATACTTAACAAACAGAAATAATACTAAATAAAAGCTAAATTTGGAATGTAAAATATCGTATGTCACACAGTGTTCAAAAAAATCGATTAATTACTACAATAAATCATATCATTAAAGAGAAAAGGAATAAATAACCTACGTGAATTTTACTTGCCGTTTTGATATAATATATTTATTCAGAAAAAATTAAAGTTATACAAAATAATATTGTTGTTTTTTTTTGTTAATTATGGTATTTCTTGACTAAAAACTACAAACACTATAACGTTTTTGTAGTTTAAATTAAGAAAATAACAACAAACTCACCATGTAAACTCAAAAAACTATCACAAAACTCACATTTAGTTGTTACTGACACGTTACTGCTTGCAGCTAACCTAAAATGTATAATAATTTAAGTGACATACGACGTATCGAAATATCCAATTGTGTAGCGTTACGACATAGACGGAGAGCATGATTCTGACATACGGCATATTGAAGTATCCAGTTTTGTCAAGAAAAACATACGACATATTTGTATGTGTAAACAATCAGGGTACCTGTTCAAATTTCATATACAACATTTTGCAGGGGCATAGAGGACTGTATTTTGGTTACAATGGATATATAAACAAAAAATTGCAATTTTTGTGACATACGACATATTGCAGTATCACCGACGATAGGTAACACGTCTGAACCTGAATGTGACTCTGCCTTGATACGACTGCTCTGCCGCTCGGCATAGGCATTTAATTGCGAATTGACCAATGAGGGCTCCTGTTTTACGTCGAGACGGCGGCGTTAGCGTGAAAATCACCCGAACCTTTTGTTTACATCCGGTCTATCTCTTATCTGAATATACTGTAGAGACAGGCACGTTATCAGAATTCCCAAGCATACAACATCTCTGTTCCAACGAAGTTTCTCATATAACGTTGCAGCAATATATAATTCTTTGGACAGTAAATTTAAGACCATGAGTTTACCATGTTTCCGCTACAATGTTAAGTTGAATTATTTGAATGATTAACTTTTCCCTCAATATTCATAGACCATTTCAGAGTAGCAGTAAGTGCACACACAATATCTCATTTTCCACTTCTCATATGGGTTATAAGTGAATTTTTATATATATTTTGCATTTTTTTTTTCTGTTAACTGTTAAGAACATAATATTTAACTTTAGTGGTTAAGTGTTAGAGTAGCATATTGCTAAACTTCGCCACTATAGTTACACTTTATATATACACATGTATTGTATATATTATTTAATAAAGACGTTTATTATTATTATTATTGTTATTATTATTTATAGGAAAAAAGTGTCAATGTGAATGTTATTATTTTAAAATCCCATTTCAAATGAAATCAGGAAAAAATAAAAACGGTTAGGAAAAATTGGGTTTCCTTCTTGCATCTAGTGAAATACTCGGAATTGCAAATCTTTCTAAGAGCCATTTTGTTAGTTACGACGCAACTGAGTATCTCTCTCCGTTTCCGAGATCCCAATGGTTACAGTCAAATTTAAGACACCAGGTACAATTAAAGATACAGTAGTTCACCACTGTAAAGTTTGCAAGCCATTTTGCGTTATTACGTTTGCGATTATCAACTGTCCAGCTTTAAAATTACTCTGCTCGTATTCAGTATATGATAATAATGCTTACAGTTAGTATGGGCTAGAATCCGACTCTAGAGAAGCATGCGAAGAGTAATTTCGCTGTGAAGCCGTGCATACATCAACCTAATCCATTTCAGTCTATTAACAACCCTTCCTCTAATTCATACGTATGTATAAAGATTTATGTATACAGCAAATGTGAGAAGGAATACCTGGTTACATACACTATGTTTCAATGAAGTTGAATCCAGTACAACTATCCCTCTCTCCAGTTTGCTATTCTCCGTTGCTCTTGGTTGGTACCGTCCGTCGTTCTATTAGTCCAATGATTGGCAACAACACAGCTCGAGAGCCGCATGTGGCTCTTTGACTCCTTGGCTACGGGTCTACCATGAAACATTCAGTTTAGGCATTATCTATTATCTTAGCTTGTAAGAAACTAGTAAACATCATTGAAACGCAAGTCCACAGAAGAACAAATTGTCGCTTTTGCCGAAGATTTTGAAATAGATACTGACGCACTGTCCATGCTTATTGAGAAAATAAGTCTACCATTGACATTTGCTATTTCAGAACAACACTGTTATATATGGAAGAAGCTTTTCTAAACAGTCTCAAAGACTTTAGAAACCTCTGAATACCACAATAACAGTGTTTTACCCTTTAAAATTGACATTAGCAACTTTGAAATGCAGTTCATGGATTAAAAGATCTACAGAGAGAAAAGATGCTAACACCTGGAAAAGTATTTCTAGCTCATATTACCTGCTGAATAAACTAATATTTCCTTTTTTGGATTTAGATATTTATGCCAAGCATTTTCAAGTATGAACTAAAATAAAGCAACGTGCCTAAAATGAAAAACAACATACAAGCCTGGCTTATCTTACTTTACAAGGAAATCTCATTGGTCATTATTCGCATTAGTGGAGTATTGCAGTTTTTTTACTCATACCTTTTATATTATTCAATGTTGTACAGGGTGCTTGCAAAGTTGAGTCATTTATTTTAACTGCTTGTAGGACTCGTCAGAAGGAGTTGATATACCAAAAATGACCTATATAAAAGTTGCATAAAAAAATAGTAAAAGATTAAAAACTTAAAAAAATAAGAATATTATTACAAAGATTTTTTGATATTCTGCCGTATAAAATCTTTTCTTAAATACCACTCTTATCGTTGATCTAAATTTTTGTGTTATTGTATGGTTTTCAGTACGAGTCTTTGGTTCGATCAGTTGTGTCAGACTTTTAATAGTTCGTATTTGTCTGATTATTTTGTGCGAAAAAATGGCCCATGTTTATGAAAACAATGAACTAGTGGACATAACACTAACATAACGGACAGTGCCAACAAAATGCAGCCGCAGCATGCAGGTTGTATGCGGAAAGGTTTCCTTTAAGAAATCATCCGGCCCCACGGATGTTTGTAAATTTAGTTGTTAGACTTCGTGACACAGGATATTTAAAAGAACCACGAGGAGGCCAAGCTGGAAGACCAACTGAACCTGAAATGTTCCAAATTGAGAAAGACATTTTAGAAATGGTCGAAGACGCCCCAATAATGAGTACTAGAGCCATAGCAGCTCAAGTTGAAGTTTCTCATAGTAAAGTGTAGAAGACAATACGACAGTAGTATCCTTATCATTATCAACGGGTTCAAGCCTTACAACCCGAAGATCATCCTCGAAGGGTTGCATTTTGCCAGTGGCTTTTAGAACAGTTCGGCAGCAATGAAGATTTTACAAAATTAATGTTGTGTGCAGAGGAGGCCACATTTGCACGAAATGGAGTGCACAATTTCCACCGCAATCATGTTTGGGCAGTAGACAATCCGCAATCTGTAAAAGAACTCATTTTCATCAAAGATTTTCGTTAAATGTTCGGGCTGGCGTGGTAAATGGCATGCTTATTGGACCCCACTCTTTGCTACCTCGACTTACCGGTGAAATTTATTTAGATTTTCTTCGACACAATGTGCCACAATTATTAAAAGATGTTCCTCTAAATGTGAGACAGAATATGTGGTTCCTACATGATGAAGCTTCACCACATTTTAGACGAGAAGTTCATCTAAATAATGAGTTTCATGATTATGAGTATGATGAATGGGCGCAATGGACCCTTTTCTGGGCCTGCTCGCTCCCCGGATTTAACGCCTTGCGATTTTTTGTGAAGCTCTTTGAAAGAGTTGGTGAATCATTATGGAACAGTAAATACCCTGGAAGAACTGCAACAGGACACCGAAGATGCTTATGATTTTGGTTTAATCGAACAAATGGGGACGATTTTGAACAGTTTTTGTCAAACGGTATCCATTTAACTTGATAATGATTTTTTTTTATTATTTTTAATAATGTAAACTAACTCTCTTATCATGCAACTTTTATATAGGTGATTTTTTGTTTATCAACTTCTTTTGGCGAGTTCTACAAGCTGTTAAAATAAATGACTAAACACCCTGTATCTGTAAATAAGCATTTCGTCTAAGCATGAGATTAAGTTTTATTTAATGTAGCATTAAAATTTTGCGATGATCGTGAGTGTGGTTTTAATCCTAATTATTTCTATAAAAATGCATCCACAATGCAAAAGGAAAAGAAATGCATTGAGAGCAAGTAAAGATGCTTATGCACGAGTACATTGGTTTGATTATTTAAGTGAGTAGACTTGGTTGAGGTTGAGCAAGCAACTGCCTTTTGCGCACTCGGGGGATAGAGTTTAAACATTTTGCTTGTTTTTCTCTGGGTTGGATTAAATTTAAATCATAATCCAAATTTCTAAGTTTAGTATTAAAAAATCGGATGTGTCAACATGTGACATCTCATCTCCCTAAACCTCCATAGAGACTTTAGTTATTCATATAAATAACATGAGACGCATACCTTAAGCTTGTGGATTTTCTATTTTCAATTTAAGTAAAAAGTGGTGTCAAGTAGATTGGATCGGTACATTCCACGCATTCATGTATGACTATTTCCGAGTTTTTCTACTATGAACCTACAAATTGAAAATCATCAATACACAAATGCTCTTTGATTACTATTATTAATAATTATACCTCGTAAGACTAAAAATAGGCCCTCCTAGTTTTCAAATTTTCTTAACTGTAAGCTCGACTGTATTTTCACTACACCTTAAAGTGACCAGAATCTTGGAAATGGTGGAAAGGATTGTATATTTCTAAAAGTTACCCCAACGTACACAGAAGCAAACTTTGAGGACAATGCATTTTTTATTTTTTGCTCATGGCTCCACGCATTCATGTATGACTATTTCCGAGTTTTCCTACTATGAACCTACAAATTGAAAACCAGCAATACACAAATGCTCTTTGAATACTATTATTAATAA